AAGCTCCCCTGGATTCTCGTCACCCCCCTCTCAACACTTTTTCCCCTACTGCAATATGACTGTTTCCTGCCCAGCTCCAGTCTGCATCTCAGGCCCCGTTTCCTCACCCTAGTTCTGCATTCCCCTGGCCACCTTTTCCAGGCCGCGCCAAGCTCTTTGTTTTCATTTACAGAGCTTAAGTCTAATAAAATATTGTTGAACCACCTGCTGTCTCGTCTCTGTTCTGGGTTTCTGGGTTCAGTACAGACCACTCGGTCCCGTGACAGAGCACTTGGTTTGTCAGGTAAGATGAGAAATACTAGAATATGTTTACATTAAGGCTAAAGCTTAAATCTGTGATTTATTATTTTTGTTTTCCTAACATACAAATTCTAATTGAGCTTTTTGTGGCTTATTTTTGAAAAGCTAAATAATGCTTAAGAGGTAATAATAATCATCATAATAACAACAATAATAATAATAATTATTATTATTATTGAATATCACATTGTGTCAAAGGTAATTTATTAGACCAAGGCAAACCATCTCCACAAAAAGATATCATTGTTTTTTTTAAAGCAAACAAACATCAGATGTAGAGCTGTGCAATTAGTAATCACTAATGACACGCACTCACCTCGGCATGTAGAGAACCCTTTCAGCCACGACAAATCCAACCCTAAAGAACAGGTTACTGGCAGGAATGAAGGGAAACACCAGAAACAACAATCCCACCAACACCTCCCTACTGTCTCGCCTCTGTGGAAAAAGAGAGAGGTGAGCACAGTCACAGCAAACCAATCAAACCAAAGAGTTCCAAGTGAAGAAGCTTCAAACACCACGTGTGAAAGGTTTATTCATTTGGCAGAAAAACTATGTACATTACTCAATAACACATCAAATACACTTGAGAACAGACTATTTATTTATCAACACTGAAGACAGGCATAGACAAAGGGTGAAAGAAAGGAAGAGCAGATGTGTCAGATCATAATCCACTGCATCCATCTGAGGAGGTGGAAGAGAAGAATATATCTGTAAGGCTGAGTTACTACGAAATGGGACCAAAAGTCAACAAACGTCGACCAAGACAAACACAATACACACAATTTAAAACCCATGAAACATATCACCTCCTGAAGATTAGCTCCATTGTCAGCATGTCAGTTATCCACAAATTTAAACTGGAGGAAAAAAGATTTCCTCAGGACTTGCTGAGAAACATCACTGTTTACTTCAGTGTCAGTATAAATCCACTGATACCTATCCGTACATCTATAGAAGCTAAGTAACAGTTAAACTGACAAACTTTTAATTGAGCAAATATATTCTTAGAGGGTACAGTTTACTGCAGTTAACATTAACAACCCGCTAGCTGCAAATGATCACGTGCAGTTCTGAAAGCAGTCAAACAACATTTGAACTTGAATTCATGTTGTTTGTACCAGACTTGTTCTCCAGACAGTGAAGTAGGAC